GTTCATTTCCGTTTACTGCTTTTTCTCCCATCATTGTTTCTATTTTCCCAGTTCTTTGTGTACCTGACAGTGTTGCAGAAAAACATTTTTCTGTATTCAGCTCCATCCCCTCTGCACAATTCCCCCATCCCTGTACCGTAGCCTGGAAATGGTCTCAAAGCTGCAAGCTAGGGCAGTTGTAGCACTCACTTGTTTTGTCTCAGGAATCACTGTCCTCTTTAATGCCTTGTTTGCTGTATTTTGTCTGATTTTCCCCCCTCTGAGTAGGAGAGTACAGTAATTTCATTTTTTTGTTTCTTCGTCTTTTCAAAAGTTGAAGGTCCAAGGGGTGGGGGACCACCCTTTTTAATAAATCTATGTAAGGACAGAGACAAAGCTGTACATTATCCATAATAGCATCAAACTGAAACAACTGAACTCTCAACGGAAAGTAAAATGTGGTGTATGGACAAGAAACATTGTACTTTATTGAGAAAGAATAAACTAACCAAATGTAGCAGCATGGATGACTCACTAACATAATTTGGCTAAAGAAACTAGCCAAAGGGTGTATCCAGTGGGATTATATTTTCATAGAATTTGAAACTAGCAAAACTAGTTCGTGGTGTTAGCAGTCAAGGTAGTGATTAGCCAAGAGGAAAGTAGTAAATAGAAGAAGTAAATACAAGGGGACAGGCTAGGTCTTTGGGATTCTAGTAATACTTTTGTTTCATGCGTGGCTTTACAATATGTATGTTATATTTCAACAGAATGTCAAGGCTGCAAGGTAAATGCATACCAGGAGAGTAGAACTGGATTCTCAGTACAGAATTGGGAACTGAGAAAGTGATAGACTCAGGATCCTGGCAAAAAAAAAAAGTCATTTTAGTAGGGTGTGGTGGTGCACGCCTGTAATCCCAGCACTCCGGAGGCTGAGGCAGGAAGATCGTTGCGAGGTCGAGACCAGCCTGGCCTACAAAGTGAGCTCAAGGATAACCTGAACTGCATAGCGAGACCCTGTCTCAAAAAATTAAAACAAAAAAGTCATCTGTCTGCTGTAGTCTGCGGGTAGCAATGGACTCCATGAGAAATCCTATGGAAATCCATGAGAAATCCTATGGAAATTCGTGAGAAATCCTGTGTATGCAACATGTAGAGGCCATCGGCTTGAATTCCTACTGTCTGGCTATGCAGAAGCACTCAGCTGAGAAACAGTAAGAACGTGTTTGAAACAGTAAACTTTGTAAGGCCCAGTCAGAGCCCCTCAAAGCTGGTGCACTGGAGGACTCCACCACTGAGACCACCGGGGACATCACGCACATTTGGAGGATGTCATATCCAAGGGCAATGGTGGTGAACCTGTGGCATGCACTGGTGTTGTTTTTCTTTTAAGACAAAAGATGTTAATGTGTGAGTTATTTTTTCTAAAGTGAAACCTCAGTATTCAGGTTTAATAGCAGTGTTGGCACTTTGCGGTAAATAAGTGGGTCTTGGGTTGCGGTTTGGGTCCACCATCACTGTCCTAGGGAGTACACTCCAGGCATACCCCTTAGAGTATGGAAGGAAAATAGTGAGACTTTTAAAAGGTCTTACAGGGGCTGGGGATTTAGCTCAGCGGCATAGTGCCTGCCTGGCAAGCACGAGGTCCTGAGTTTGATTCCCGATACCGGAAAAAAAACAAAAACAAAAGAATAAAAGGTCTTAGAGTATAATCTGGCTTATAATTTTGAGTAGAAATTTCAGATAGAATGCCAGTTCTCTTCATCCTTAATTAAGCCTTCATTGTTTGAGGAGTCAGAATGAATCTGTGATAACATACTGTATTCTTGCTATGAAGAGCTTTAGAGGATAGGAGGATAGAGGGTGTATCTAAATTATTTAAAGTAAAACATCTTAATAAAGGAAAAGGGACGCAGGATACATTCCGAACTTTACCAAAACTATAAAGCTGTGAGAGTAGTACAGTTTTTAATCTAAAGCTTGTCAAATTCTATGGAATTATTAGTGGGCTAGGTTTCTCTGTAAATTGCTCCACACTTTGTGTGTTTTGAGACAATTTCTTATATCACCTAATGGGGCAAAATAGATGAAAACTACTGAAATGTTAGACCCTTTTATCCTGTCATCCGTATCTTGAACTATTTCATGACGTCTGTCTTCACCTCTCATTGTCTCTGATGCATTCTGGCTCATTTCCGGGAATCTAGCCCGCAGTTTTGTTTCTAGACCGTGTGTGGTTCTTGTCGACTAGTCATGGTGATGGGTGATGGTTTCTCTCATTCTTTCTCTTGGGTTTTGTTCAGGCAACACAGTTACTTTGCATTCTGAGCCCTAAACTCACATGGGAGGTGTTTTCCAGGAAGACTTTTTCCTTTTATTCCACAACCCTCAGAACTGAGTGCAAGATAAACAGCAACCCTACCTCTGTGAGTGCCAGGATTTTCCTGCTTTGCCTCTGAGGGATTTGATTTATGTAAGACTCTTAGAACATATTTCCTATCATTCTTGTGCAAGATTTGTCTCCATCTCTAGGCCTGGGATCCACAGGTAGCCCTGAGGCAGGCATCAGCCCCAGCACACACTCCCTGTGGAGTTTCTTATATCTGATGTTGTCGGCTTCTGAAATTTTTTTTCCGAAGAGTTTAGTCTTGTATTTAAAACATGCTCTAACTTGTTTGAAGTATAAAAGAGAAGATAGTGCCTGTATAGATATGTGTGGATACATTCACTGTCCGTGTGTTTGTGTGTATGTTTTGGCCTGTATATATTTTAAGATATCTCTGGAAGGATAGGTAAGAAATTAACCTGTTCCTGCAGACTTGAGCCACCTGTGATGCATGCATGACTGTCCTGTTGTGCAGCTTGTATCACGGGAGGTACAAACAGAAATAATCACTTTTATTGATCTTACACCATTTCAATGTTTTGCTTAAGGAACTGTAATATGATGAGATTTGGTCTGTTAAATCACGTCTTTCTTTGCATTATTGTAATCATAAACCTCCTGAGAAGTGGTATGAGCCACCCAATGGGACAGCCATACATGTACCATTAATGGTTCAAGCCAGCGGGAATGATCAAATTAAAATCATAGCTGCCAGGCAGTGAGCCATGTACATTATGGTCCCTTTGTGAACATGTTAATAATGCTGTGGAAGCAGTCCTTGGAATTAGGTAGATGGGAGGTGGGTAGAGGTGGGTGGTGGCTTTTATGAGAGAACCTCTTTATATTTTTAGTGATTTCAACCATGTGAACCTGTTACTAGTTCAGTCAGTTAAATGTGGGATACAGACTTTTCCTGCCAGCAGGCTAGATGTCCTGCAGGTTTCTCCAGATACCTGGTCTGCTGTTTTGTTAGGAATGGGAGAGTGACCATTTTTCTGGCTGTGTAAGTTTTAAATAGTCATTTTGTCTCTGTGTAGCCCTCTAGGTGAACTCTGTAGATCAATGTTTTCCAAACTGTTAGTTTATAATTAGTTTTTGAACTTTTCTAATCTGCCATAGGCTGATAATTTTGGCAAACTAAAGAGAAAAATAAATCGATGGTCACATGTTTGGATTGATGTCAGATTACTGTAAACCTTTCCTCTTTACATTGGTCTCCTTATTACAGACCAGTGAAAAGCCATTCTTGGACAACACTTTGGGTAGCACTGCTAGGACAAGTTTTTTGTCAATTTCAAAATGTTCTATTGTGGATAACTTGTTGCTATAAAAGTGTTTCTGCGGCCATTTGGAAACAGGAGTTGGCTGCTGTGCACCCTGGCCTTAATTAACTGGGCGTGAGCCTTCGCTGATTGATCTAGGTAGTGGTGCTGGTGGTATGCTTGGAGAAGTGCTTCATAGATTCATAGTGTAGTTCTTTGAATCAGCGATGAGTTGATACTAGTGGTGTTGGGTTGGGTTGGATTGGTTGTTCTGTTTTTTTTTTTTTTGTAAAAGAAGGTCTTTTGGGTATTTTTTCATGGTACTGTCAGGATTGCCATCTGGCTGGCAGTAATTATAAGATGCCATTGATTTTGAGATAGTAGAATGTGGGAAAACGTGTTTTTAAAACGTCTTGCAGACGGATCCATGATTGTTCTACCGTCTGAGTACTGTTGAGTACTTGCAGCCTTGATGATGAGAAGTCTTTGCAGTGTGATTACAAGAGCTAGAGAGGAAGTCTTCAGTGACCTCGGAGGCCTTGCCATTCCGCTGAGTGGCATCTCTTGTTTGGACAGCCTGATGTTAATTGGGGCTCCTTCTCCCTTCTCCGACTGGCAGGGTTTTCTTCATGGAACCTAGTGCCGTAGCGCTGTGGAATGTTCCAGCAGTGAGAACCGGGGCCAACTTCTCTGTTAACTGCTGATACCGATAATAGCTTCATGTCATTAATAGACATTTTTCTCATTGTGATTTTTTTTTTTTTTTCTTACTTGCAACTTCCCTCTGTTCTACTCCGGCCTTTCTTTGCTTTGGAGTATTGGGAGTTTTTGATAATCCCATTTTCTTGCTTTTGTGCAGGTTGCTTGGCATTTTTAATTGTATATTATCTGGACTGTTTATTATAGGATTTTCTCAAACATTTGCATTATCTTTCTGCATTTTTCTGGTATGGATAAGAATTTTATTTTACCTATTTTTATAGTTATTTGGTCATTTTGATGGCATTTTGAGAGGAAGGGCAGTAATAAAGTGGGCGAACACTGTCATTTATTTCTTCACCATGAATTGAGATTCCCCCTCTACATTTGGCATAGTTTTGAAGCATCAGCAATAAACAATAGACAGAGAGCACATCTAAGTTCTGATCTTTGCTGGAACATTCATTCTGCTTAGTTCTGGTTTTCCTAAAGTGGAAGCTTGCTTAGTGTTACTTCCCTTCATTTTCAGGTCTTCTGCTTTGGAAAAATGTCAGCTTTAAAATAAAACTCAGTTTACAGTGCAGCATAGCAATTTATTAATAGATCATATGTGCTTTACTTTGGTGTAGCATTACTATATTCTGTAGCAATAATTTATGTCATTTGCTTTTTAGCCGATTACACCTCAACAAGAAGGCAACAGACAAACAGCCATATAGCAAGCTCCCGGGTGTGTCGCTGCTGAAACCACTGAAAGGGGTAGACCCTAATCTAATCAACAACTTGGAGACATTCTTTGAATTGGATTATCCCAAAGTAAGTACAGAGTTTTACTGGTTAGGAATGGGCTTGCCCATGGGTTTGTTTTTCTCTCGTTGTAAATACTTAGGGATTGCAACACTGTATAGGGGGCAGTGTTGAAAATTCACCATGATCTTGGCCTCATACAATGCAGTAGTAATAGTCGCAGGACAGTGATGGGTGGGAAGTCCCTTTCTGACTACCCAAGTGTCCATCTGATGTAGAAAGCCCTCAGAGACCCGGAATGCAGACATTGTCAAGTGCTGGTAGGAAGAGCAAGAAAACTGTTTATCGGTATGAAATGGGACACGAGACAGCTAGACTAACAGGAATCCCCTTTGAAACTGACTTTAAATCAAGAATAAGTTGAAATACGTGACATAGTAGGACTTCATCTTACCTAATTTTTCATTTCTTACTGTCCAGATTTTGAATCCCTAATTGTGTTGTGTTGCTTACAACCACTTATCGATATAATTTGTGTATCTATAAGCTCAGGATACTCAGGAGCTTCGGTTTTCTTGAGATAGAAGTATTCTTTTTACAGTTTCCCTTTAACAGTTCACCTCTCCTTTCTTAGAGGAATTTGGTATTCTTCAGTTTCTGTGTTTAGATTTTGATTTTGTATTTAGATTCCTGTATTTTGATTTTGCTGCTTCCCTGCAGCTTTATAAATGGCCTCGTTGAGACTGCTTTTTAAGTGTGTAGGCCGGCGTGTCACTCAGTGTTTTTGGTGTTATTTTTGTATTATTGCTATGATGCATTTTAGAGTTTAGATATTGAGTGGTAATGTAAAGCAAAATAATTTCTTCCAGCTTGTGTATGTTTATATTTAATAATTTTAGAGATCTCAATATGTATGTATTATCCATTTAATTGAAGGTCATTTCCTTAAAAGAAGATAAAATTTTATAAATTTTAAAATTAAATCTAAAACATGGCCTTTTATAACTCAGAATGATAAATAAAACTACAAAGTAAGCTTTGTAATAAGAGTAAGGGAAGTTTTTCAAGCCCCATCTTATGTGAGTAAATGCAAAGGAGAATTATTTTTATTAATGGGAGAATAGTTTTGTTCATTGTGAATAGTCTTAAGAGTGCAGCTTAGAATGATGTGCATACATCATTGTGAAATGTAATGTTACATCTCAGTGTGTAAGTGTCATTCTGTCCTTCCCCATTTAACCACTCTTAATCCTTGGCCGTTTAATTTTTATGTTGTAACCCCTGTGAGTTGGTAAGTAGTGGGAAGTTAGTGCAGACTTTAATTATAGAAAGAGTTTTAAAAGACAACCCTGGGAACATATGTGTCCATTAACTATGAACTTTAAGCAAGAACTAATACTTAATTTCTTCTTCTAAAGAAAGATTTTTAAAGTCACAGTTCAAAATCATCTCAAGAGCTCTAGCTTTACTTATGTCTTTTGCCATTTATGTTATACCATGGAGGCATTTAAGTTGGTTGAGGAGAGAGCTGTTTTGGTGCTCATTACAAAATGAGTAATGGCATATGCAGGAGACTGGTTTTTTAGTAATATTTTTATTTTCTAACTAAATTGTTAGCTGTGTAAATAGAAAACTTGGAAAGTAAAGGGGAAGTATGGAATACCTACCATCTAAGGGGGAATTTTGATCTTACTCCAGTTGCTCTTTTAAAAACCAAACATGGTGGGAAATGTTCCACCGGATGGTAAAGGTTAAACCACTGAAATCACACAAATCTGAGTGTGAACAGATGAAGTATTTGTGTAACCAGAGAACCAAGTTGTCAGAAAATATTCACATGACTGCCAGGCCAGCATTCAGTATTTGCTTTGACTGTGAACATCATTTTATCAAAGTGGAGAAACATCTTTATTATGGGAATAACTTTCTCCTCTATTAGATTTGGAGCATCATAGGCCATGTTGGACAACAAAATACTTTTGGATATATAGTGAAGTTTTAAATTTTAATAATTTTAAATATATGCAAAATATTTACTGGTAGTACTTGTTCTGAATTTCTGGCTGTTAGTTTGGGTGAGACTGTACTAATTGCCCTGAAAGATTTCTGCGCTTTAAGTATCTTGTAAATCCATTTTTAAGTTGTACATGTTTTGGGAGATGAAATGTAAGAATGTGAGCAGTGGCACAGTTCATTTTCTAGGAAGTTCATACTCATCTGGCATCCGCATAGATGGTAGCAGTAGCAAGAGGGTTCAGTATCTGCCTCTAAAAATGGCTTGCTGGTTTCTTTTCAGTAAATTCTGGCCATGTGAAGAATTTTTAAGTTAATGGTCAGAGTTAGCAGAATGAGGTTGTGGGTAACTGTGGTGCGGAGGAGGAGGGAGGCTTGATTTTGCAAATGTAGAATTGGTTTAAAATGTTGCAGACCAGAGCCATGTTTTAGATGCTTCATTGTCAGTGGTATAGTTCTCTATGTAAGAATTATTTTTCTAACCTAGTAGTCTTCTAGCAAAGATTTAAAAATAAAAATGATTGAAAGATCATGCACAATTGTTGTTAACACATGTAGTAAAAATACAGTTTGAAAGATTGGAAATTTGTCAGATAAATTTGAAAAACTATAAATCGAGTCTAAAGTTTGAATTTAGAGTGGTTCTTTTATAAAACATCCCCTTCTTGACATCATTTTTTCATTCAGGAGTTAACCAAGTTAGCTGGTCGTGATGGTGCATCCCTGTAATCCCTTTACTCGAGAGCCTGAGGCAGGAGGATCACTGAAAGTTTAAGGCCAGCCTGAAATACATGGGGAGACCCTATGTCAAAAAAGCAAAACAAAGAAATTGCCCAGAACAAATGAATTAACAAACATTTATCACTACCTCTGTACCAGCAAATGTCGTAGATGTTTGGGGTCTGAATCCGTTTTGTCATGGAATTTATTTGTCTTTTTGAGACAGGGTTTCGCTGTGCAGTTCAGGCTGGCCTTAAACTCACTTTGTAACCCAGGCTGGCCTCAAACTTCTAGCAGTTCTCCTGCCTCAGCCTCCCGAGTGCTGGGATTACAGGTGTTCACCATCATGCCTAGCTGGAATTTATATTTTCATCCATATATTTTCATAAAATTCTGCAAGCATGATGTATCAGGTAGTTTTTTGGTTTTTGTTTTTTTGGGAGGGGTACTGAGAATCAAACTTAGTGCCTTGCACTTGCCAGGCAGGCACTACACTGCTGAGCTATATCTCTGGCTCTAAGGTAGTTATTTATAAATAATAACTCAAGATGTTTTAAGACATTCCCACTTGACATACATTATAACTGATTCAGACATTAAAATACTTTGGGACATGAATATGTAACTCAGTGATGTACTGCATGCTTAGCGTGTGCTAAGTTCAATACCTAGTACGTGTGTATAAACAACACAATTTTAAAAGGATATTTTATCCTACTTACTACAGTTTAAAAGTTTACAATCCTAAGGTAATCGAGGCTGAATTAATGCGGTTTTTTCCTAATACTTACACATTTATATCTTACGTGTGCACCTAAATTTACCCATAAATGGAAAAAAGTTTCAGTATTATTGAACTTTGAGCATTCAGTTCTTCAGTATCAAGTTTTTAAATTTTTGTTACACTGATCTTGTTTTCAAACTTTTAGTCTTTTCATTCTGTTCTGCTGTTTATTCAGCAGCCTTATTAAAGACAGGAGGGAGGCCAACCTTCTCCTGAGTTTGGAGTTGATATCTAGAGTTCATGTATTCAAATTTTGCCAGTTTAGAGTAGAATTGACTATAATTTATGTCCCTTGTTGATTTATAGAATATATGTTTTCTTTAAATATCTTAAAAGTATATGATGATACATACTGTGTTTTTTAATTTAATGTGTAAGCCTTTTGAGTGTGTAAAATACCTGAAAAGTTATTTTCGTGTTAGCTAAGAAAAGCCTTTAACCAATTCAATGTCTTGTGTTTTACCTGTTGTAGTGTAGTTGGAGATTAAACTATTACAGCACAGAGATTCTAGCAGATAAAATGTTTGATCAAACTGTGAAGACAAGGAGTGATTGTCATAGTTGAGAAATGAAGAATCCTCATTAAAATCTGGCAGCTAGCCAGGCGTGGTGGCGCATGCCTGTAATCCCAGCACTTGGGAGGCTGAGGCAGGAGGATCATTGCAAATTCGAGACCAGCGTGGGCTACTAAGTGAGGTCAAGGCCAGCCTAAATTGCATAGCAAGACCCTGTCTCAAACAGACCAAAAAAAAACAAAAACTGGCAGTTAGAAAACACTTGGAATACCTGGTATATTTTTAGTATTAGAAGTTACATGCTTAATAAGAGTGAGCACATGTTTTGGACAATGTGAATTACGTTTCATCTGCACTCTTAATTAGGCATTTATTCTGAAATTAAGTTTGAAGTGCAGTCAGTAAAAATTTAAGCCTTACACCTAAATAAAGGTAAACTGCACCTCTCTTATAATTTGCCTTACTTGTTTTTGTCTATGTTGTTGGTATTTTGCTATAGTTTTAAAATTATTATTATTTTCTTGAAAATAAAAAAAATACTTGTGCCATAACCCAGTGTATTGGTTTAGCTTTTTTCTTCCTGTTTATGCATTTGTAGTATTATATTTTACAGCATTTTCTCTTGTGAGGGTGAGAGTGCTAAGAGTCATTTTTTATTTAGGGAATTATATTGCCATATCTGTGAAATAACACGAATTAGAAAAGCACTAAAGAAATTTAGTGTTGGGTGGGGATTCTGTAGAGGAAGCGGAGAAATTTTTTCATAGTAGGAGTGCTAATGGTTTGCATTTGCCCATTTTAATTTTTATCTTTGACGTCATTACTTTTTGATAGTTTCAGTAAACATTTTGAGTGTCAGGATGGGAGAATGGCTGATACTTTATTTTTTTTTTTATTTTTTATTTTTTTTGGTTTTTTTCCGGTACCGGGAACCGAACTCACAACCTTGCGCTTGCCAGGCAGGTGCTTTTGCTGCTGAGCTAAATCCCCAGCCCTGGCTGATACTTTATATGGCTTAGACTCAACTCTTTGGGAAGTTTCAAGAGTGTGGTAGGAATTGTGTACTATCTGTTCTTAGATTTCTACCTGGTATCTAGAGACCAGGTATCTAGAGTTAGTTTTAATCCCTGAGTGGCAGTTTTGGTCAATCATCAGGAAAGGCAGATACTGAATAGAATACAAAATAAACATTGTTAGAAGCGTTTAGTAAGTCTTTAATGGGGAAGGCAATAGACAACCTTAGTTATTTGAGAAACCCTTTTTTGGCAAGCAGTCATTTTTATGTTCAAAGGCAACGTAAACATTTCATTTTTAATTATGTATCTTCATTGATAGAAGTAAATAAAACTGGCCTTGCTTTTACTTGAGTTAGACCCTGTATATTAGATGATTAAGATACTTTGCCCTCAGTGCTTTTTTATTTTTTTCAAGCACATAGCTTTGTTACATTTTCATGGACATAATTAACCTCCTTCCTGTACTTAAAAATATTGGGCCAGTTTTAGAAAAAGGTTTTGATAGGAAATTTGTTCTTGAATCAGCATAAATTTATCACTACCTCTGAAAAAAATTACTACTTAGAATACATATTTCACAAAGTAATAGAGTAACATCTCCATAGGTGAAACCTAACACTTTAAACATTTAGTAATTTACTGAATGGTAAGCTTAGAATTGTGTAAACCTGGCTGTGTGTTAGAATCACTCCAGAAGATTCTGATCCAAAAGTCAAATAGGGTCTGATTCTCTTTTTAAAATAAGTGTTCTACGGTACTTTTGACGCAGCTGTACAAGTGTTAAGAAATTACTTTCTGACATAAACATAGCACCAAGCACGATAAAATTATAGATATTTTCAACATAGTATGCTTTTGGGGACAGTAAGTGTTATATCAAATTTGATTTTATTGTTAAAAGTTGTACAACAAAAACCATCTAATCTCATTTTGTCCTTTGAGTTTATTGTAAGGGGATTTTATTTGTAATTTCTAGCCCCTTAATGAAGTAACATTAAGTTCTGGGGCCGAGCTGGTAGAGAACGGAGGGTGTATTTATTTGTCTTCCTGTCAGTGGTGCATTTCACTCTGCAGGACACCCCAGGAGCATTTAGTCAGTGTGCAGTGGTGAAGGCAGTGGGCAAGCTCCTTCCAGTTTGCTGAATAGGCTGCGCCTGTCTTGGGCACCGCCAGCCTCTTCCCTGTTCCTCTGCCTCTCCTGTCCTGGAGAAACCTCCCTCCATTTACGCAACACTTGTCATCATACGCGTGTGCATGCGTTAAATTCCCTATTAACTTGTAAACTTTCTATATAAAATTGCTTGTTTCTCTGACCCTTTTAAAGAGGTTCATTTACATAAAACATCTTCTTTGACTAGTATGAAGTACTCCTTTGTGTACAAGATCATGACGATCCAGCCATCGATGTGTGTAAGAAGCTTCTTGGAAAATATCCAAATGTCGACGCTAGATTATTCATAGGTAAGTCAATTGTACACTAGCCGTTTCGCTTGGATAATATTAAGTGTTGTAATCTTTTCTGTATTAAACTGTAGATGAAGGTGTTAGTCCCCCATTGAAGTTCTTAGCTTGTTTCAGGTCTAAGTTTTTGGGTTTGTTTTTTTTTTAAGAATAATGAAAGGTGTTTAGGCTCTTTCAAGATTAAAAATACAGGGTTTTTTTCATGGCTGCAGTTAACAAAATAACCAAAAATATGTTTTCCTCAACAATCAAGACATAAAAGTGTCTTTTTAATGTGTGGCCTTTTCTGTATGTAATTAACTATAATTGAGAATAAGTAATAGAGTTTACTTTTACTACATTATAAAAAGGGTATTTTTCCAAAAGCCTACAAGGCTTATTCTAAAGACTTGTAGCTGGGGATATAGCTCAGTGGAATAGCGCCTACCTGGCAAACACAAGGTCCCGAGTTCAATTCCTGGTACTCACCAAAAAAAAAAAAAAAAGACTTATAGAGGTATATGTGCTATTTTAAAGAAAGTGTTTTAAATATACATCTGATTTGAACTCTGTTCACCCAAATGATCACTTTTGCAATGCTTTTTTAATTACCACAGCTTTGAAATGAGTCATACAGTTTTCTCTGTCACTTTTTAAAGTTGACAGAATTTATGTATTTATAGTGTATAGCATATTTTTTAAAATGGGAATGTTGTAGAATAGCTAAATCAGAGCTTATTAACATGCATTACCTACATGCTTATTTGTGGTGAGAAATCTGCGTTCAGCAATAAAGGTATTCAACACATTAGTATTGTAACTATAGTCGTTACGGCATTAATTATTAAATTAAATATTAATTCAGCCAGGGATATAGCTCAGTGGTGCAGCACCTGCCTGGCAAGCATAAGGTACCAGAAAAGAAAAATATTGATTCATACTTACTGTTAATGCAAGAATTTAAGAATTAGCTGAAACCATGAATTTTCAAAGACAAATAATAAGGAATGTAAAAATGTTTAGATTATTAAATGAAAATACCTTTTATTTTTCTCTACCTATATCTTTGTAATAGAATTCTCAGTATTTCATAAGTCTTTTACTGCTGTACTTTTACATTTTTAGGTGGCAAAAAGGTTGGCATTAATCCTAAAATTAACAATTTAATGCCAGGATATGAAGTTGCAAAGTATGATCTTATATGGATTTGTGATAGTGGAATAAGAGGTGAGATTTTTCATATTCATTTTATAAAACTTCATTTGATGACAAATGCCAAAAAAAACCCAAAAATAAATTTATCAGTTCTTTTTGTTTGCCTAATAACTTATTTCATCATTCATGGTAATATGTCCAGTTAGACTTATTTAGACTTCAGTTTCTTTTATCCTACCCTGTAGTGTCATATATACTACAATATTTTCATTTTGAAGAAGCAAGTGGTCATAGTCCATCACAGTGTACAAGCTTTCTGATGCATGTAGTTTTCCCTTGCTTGTGTCACACTTTTCTTTTGCTTGAATCTGTTGTGGCTTGCTTAATACTCTGCCTCACACAAAGGGACAGAAATCAGTAAGTGTAACTTTTACTTCAAGTACTGACTGCCTTCATTAAAAATACATAACATTTTTTTTTATTTTGATGCTTTTAGCAAGAAGCCTTTTAAGCATTTATTTTTCTGCCATATTTTATTCTAATTACCTTACAATTTCTCAGCCTTAACAGTGGTGACACACTGGGCCTGGTAATTTTTTTGTCATGGGGGCCGTCCTGTAGCACATTTTGTCAGCATCTCTGTCCTCAACCCACTAGATGCTACAGGCAGCCCCTGTCAGAGTTGGAACAACCAAAAATGTCTCCAAACGTTAGCAAATGTCCCCTATGAGGAGGAATTGCTCCTGGTTCAGAACCACTGACCTAGAATATGAATTTGTTCTCTATAGTAGGTTTAGTTCTTGATGACTAGAAGGAAATTAAAAAAATAGTCATGATATGAGGTGTTTGCTATTTGAAGATAGGGCAGTGATTTGCATTTTTATTAGTTTAAAATGCAGATTTGAAAGTTAAGAAATGTATTGCAGATCAGGACCACTGCAGGTCTAACAGCTCAGGGTCAGAAACTATTCATTTTTCACATTTGCTGTCTTAACTGTCATTTTTGTTATGCATTTCAGAATAAAAATCTGTTAGATATAATTTCATTCCATTCCCATTAGCATTTCTATGATATCAGAGGGCATATTGCACTGATAGAGACTCAAAATTCCTGTAGTTGAAGAGGAAAGAACTGAGGTCTTCTTTTTTCTCTCTCTCTTTTTGAGACAGTGTCTCACTGTGCAGTTCAGGCTGGTGTGGAGCTCACTTTGTAGCCCAGATCTTGAGCTCGCAAAGATCCTCCTGCCTCAGCCTCCCGAGTGCTGGGATTATAGGTGTGCGCCGCCACACCCAGCTGAACGAGGTCTTTTGACCTGTGCTTCCTTTTCCATATAGCACATTGTCTGTATTGCATTTTGGAGGTTCTGATATAGGGTAGGGCAGGGGTTGATGTTTTCAAGGTACTGTATATATACCCTGCCTGTGGTACATAAGAGATACATACCAGGCTGAAAATACAGAGAGCACATTAGCTTATTATTAAGTATGCCTTTTTGAAATTTTGTGTTCCAGTCAGAGATTCATCTTACTCCACCCATATATTTGAAGAAATTTATTTCTATTATAATTTAGTAATAGTTCACAAATAATATTTTACATCAGTGGGCATTTTACTAAAAAGTAATTTTTTTCTCTTCCTTCTCCCCATCTTTTTTGTTTTGTTTTCTTTTAATTTTAGTAATTCCAGACACACTAACTGACATGGTTAATCAAATGACAGAAAAAGTAGGCTTGGTTCATGGGCTGCCTTACGTAGCAGACAGACAGGGCTTTGCCGCTACGTTAGAACAGGTAAGTGTGGTGGTTACAAATAATACTGGTGGTGGCTAGATCGCTAATGTTCTAGAAGCTTGAGACTGGACTGAGAGTCGGGATTGGCTACCCGAAGTTAATTGTATTAAGCGCATTTGGGAGTTTGCTGTGAACTGGAATCCTCCAGGTGAGAGAGGCTGTTTTGGTTACAAGGAAATCGCTGGGCCCCCGGGATAACTGAGCTGCACTGTGCCCTGAATAGCTGTGCACAAGAAGCAGCTTGTGCTGTTGCCAGCTGTGACCCTTGCTCTAGAAGTTTGTTCTAGCCTGCTGGCTTACCCAAAACACATGTTCTTTCGGAGATTCAAGCTGAAAAAGCTTTTTTTAACATCAGGAAGTATTTCAGGTGTCCACAGAATGTGTTCCTACCTCTAATATCCATTCGATTTCCTTTTAAAATAGATGTCTAGTAATTTTCTGAGAAACTTTTTAATCTCTCTCCCCCTCCGTGCTAAGTGCTCCTCCACATCTACCCTACAAATGATGTAAAAGTACAAGAAATGAGAACGCACTGTACAATGCATTCGTTTACTAACTTGAACTTTTTTTAAAAATGAAGATTTGTTTTTGCTTTATCATCTTGGCACTTTGGATCCTTTTTATTATTATTATTATTATTAAGAAACGTAGTTGAGATGCTACTCTAAAACATGTGTCTTATTTTTGTCGCTTCAGAACCTTTTCCCTCATTAACCTTTCATGAAAATTTTTACTAGCTATGTCATAATACGTATATTTTATGTGAATTTCTGTACTGTTGAACAGGAAGAAGTCCTGTTCATGGGATAAGGGGAGGATACATAATTTCAGTCTGTAAATATATCAACTTCCTCTTAAGCATTTACTCGGTATTGTTTTGAATTGCCATGTTACAATCACCACGGATCTGAAAGAGTAAAGGTGCATTGTTGGAACTTGGTTCTGGCCTTTGGCCTTTTGAACCATGATCTCTTACTTACTGTTGCCTATCAAAATATTTCTCCTACTGCAAAACATTTTTAATCTTAAATTCCTGAGTTTTTTGGTTAGAAAAAAAAAAAGCTCTGGATAGTAATTTTAAAATAAAAACTCTGTATTTTTATATACCATACTGTATTTTTATTTTAGAAATACCAAATTGCTAATATACATTTCCCAGACAATGCCCATTCCGTTATGGAGCTTTAATTCCTCAGTCACTTCACCATACTTAGAATGAAGGAAGATTAGCCAAAGATGTTCTAGACTGTGAAGAAGTTGTCTCCTCAGTCCCTAGTCCATATTCATCCAAAAACCTCACTTTAATAACTGCTTCATGGGTGAAGATACATGATTCTGGCCTTAGGAGCTGTTTGATTCACCCTGCAAACACTATGACTTCAGTGTAACGTAGGCTTAGGGTAGCTAGCAAGAATCGTATTCTTAGTTATCCCTTAGAATTCTCTTGTTTTGTAGTGTGTGTGTGTGTGTGTGTGTTCGCGCTCGGGCAATGGTGCCCGAGCCCGCCATTGGGAACAATCACTGCTCTTTATTTTCAGCTAGTTAGGAAGGCGGTATACCTGAGGTATGAATAATAAATAGGGCTTTATGCCTAATTAGTAGGGCGATGACAGTCTTTTTCCAAAATTGATTTATCACCTTACATAACATCTTGAATCCAGAGTATTTCTAGAGAAAGGCGGTAAGAGATGGGAGGTAGAATTTCAGTAGCCACCTTATTAATGAAAAATACAGTGGAAAACAAAATTAGGGAAATTGGGAGGAAGCTCACTGACTTGGGCAAAAAGGAGCTGGTGGTGAAACCTTCCAAGAGAAGAAATTAAGAGACAGAAACATCCCGAAGGGGTAGTGTAAGCGTACATGCGTATATAACACATATACAGAGAACTGTGCATGTGCACGCAGGTATATTGGTCAGATAAAATAAGTAAACCTGTGTTCTACACAGGATATTTTTACATAAGCACCCTAAAAACAGGGTACATTAAGAACTTGCTGATGTTTTCATGCTTGTTTTTACTGTCTTATTTTGTATCTAGGTTAAATCTTTGAGTCTTATGGTTTTAGAGAAGACAGTATTTGAGAATAGAATAAACTTTTTCCTCTAGAGGTGAATATTTCTTTGTAATGATGATAATAAGAGTAGTCAGTCAAATTGTCGACTGCCTGCTATATATGTACACTCTACAGTGTGCCATTTTTTCTCCAGCTAGTTTATGTAAGCAATAAGATATTCATTCAGTCATAGTTAAAGAAAACCATTAAGAAAAAGAACTTGCAAACATCATACTTTTAACAAAATTCTAAATGTATATCTTTGTCTTTTTTTTTGGGCAGGTGTATTTTGGAACTTCGCATCCAAGGTCCTATATCTCTGCCAATGTAACTGGTTTCAAATGTGTGACAGGAATGTCTTGTTTAATGAGAAAGGATGTGTTAGATCAAGCAGGAGGGCTTATAGCTTTTGCTCAGTACATTGCTGAAGATTACTTTATGGCCAAAGCAATAGCTGACCGGTAAGAAAGCTAAATTAGTAAGAAAACGAAATGGAGCCACAGTATTTTTAGTACTTTTGTTGATTTGTTCTTTCTGGGGCTGGGGATATAGCTCAGCGGCATAAGCACTTGCCTGGCAAGCCTGAGGTCATGAGTTTGATTCCTAGTACCCCAAAAAAAGAACTCTCAATGATTTATTCTTTCTGTTGGAATGAAGGAGTAGGACTTTTTAATTTTATTTCATTTTATGTTTTTCGCTAGTGAATGCAGAATAGGCTATTAACTTTGGAAAAGCAGTTCATTTTAACTATTCATGTATGCATTTATGAAGCAAATAAATATACCGATTGCTCAGTATTCCAATCAATATGGTTTGAGGTGATTAAAAAGAAATTTCTCTGATTGTGTGTTTTCATTAGTACAGGTGTGAGTTTCATGTGTTCTAGAAGATTTAAAGCTATCAGTGTAGTCAAGTGTCTCACCAGGTCAAATTTTAATAAACGTATCATTTCAGAATTTGAAATTTGTCAGCAAATTATTTGATGGCTTTGTTAAGAAGCTACCTTGTGACTCATAGCACTAACAGCATTTTCTTTATCACAAAAAACTTCTTTAATATTAAAAATCGTTGCCTTCTATGATAATTTGCTAAAAATATCATTTAAAAAATTGAAGTATGTTTTCTAAATTCTCCTACAATAGTGTTTCTGTGGTTCATGATCTCCTACTGTCTTCTGTAGGATACATAATGCCGCTTTTCTTTTCTTTCCTTCTGCTTTTCTTACTGAATACACACACACATCCGCACATCTTGCAGGGGGAGAAGGGAGTAGTAGTGATCAGAGACTAAGCTATTAAATAGAGAGCTCTGCCAGCTGAGTACTTGGAGAATGACTGTGCTTCTTCCCGCTTGTCGATGGCCCTATCTTGGGCCAACTGGTTACTCATTCATAAGCAGTGTGCTAATCCTCACTGAGGGCACGTTTCACCCTGACTACTAGCAGTTGCTTCCTTACCGTGATTAATGAATACGTAGCCAGTCAGGCTTGCTTGTTTTCATCATTATCATAGATAATTTTATAATTATCTTCATTTTCAGAGGTTGGAGGTTTGCAATGTCCACTCAAGTTGCAATGCAAAACTCTGGTTCGTACTCAATTTCTCAGTTTCAGTCCAGAATGATCAGGTAAATAAACTGTCATCTTTTTATACTTTTTAAAAGAATAAGAGGGGAGATAATTTTTACATGGTTTGACATAATTTTAAAAGTGTATCCCAATGGTCATTTTTGTTTAGTTTAGTTTTAGAAAATAGACTGAATGTCTAAAATAGACTGAATGTCTAAATGTATTTTCTTTGCAATATAACACTGAAATACTCAAAAAAGAGACATTGAGACTTCCTTTGTTTAGTTCGGTTCTCACTGAGCGGAACAGGCTGCCCTCAGACTTGGAGTTCTCCTGTCTCAGCTTCTTGAGTAGCTGGGGTTGCAAGAATGTGTCACCATGCCTGGGTTGAGTCTTTGACCTTTTTATATGCTGTTCTGTATTTCCTAACTTTCTGCCCTTGAATCAAATTTTATAATCTGTACTCATCAGAATAGGAAGCATGCAAATGAATTTATAGACTTTTTAAATATGTCAAGTAAAAATAGAGAAAAGATTCATCGAAACAAACAAACCCAAAAAAGCAAAGCTCTTTAAAGAGGAATGTCTTTATAAAATAATATGGTAGAAGGTTGATCATTTTGGAGAAAAATTGATTAATCTTGTCACCAGGCTGTTATCTTAAAGAAAATCCTTCTTATTTTTGTAGGTGGACCAAATTGCGGATTAACATGCTTCCTGCTACAATAATTTGTGAGCCAATTTCAGAATGTTTTGTTGCCAGTTTAATCATTGGATGGGCAGCCCACCACGTATTCAGATGGGATATCATGGTATTTTTCATGTGTCATTGCCTGGCATGGTTTATATTTGACTACATTCAACTCAGGGGTGTCCAGGTATGTGGATAGGCATGAAAAAGTTGGCAGTCATTTGGTGGAACTAAAACTATTTTAATTTTGGAAAGGTGAAAGAAAATCTACCTGAACTATTCTTCATCTCCCCAATGAAAGTTAATATCCCATTCAGCTTCCCATTGAAAGTTAAACATTACATTCCCTAGTAGATTCCCAACGTAACGCTTAACTTAATTTGCAACTTTCCATTGGTTCTACAGTCACTTTTACTAAGGCTTCCAAAAAATGATGTTAAACAAATCAACACATACTCAAAGCAGGAATGTTTCAGCATGGCAGTTATTTTAATACTGGTTTTACTAATAATTCACATTTTCTTAAGTGGTATTGCATAGCAACTAAATTGTGCAGGACAGCTGACTTGATTTTATTTACTATACCTACAAGAATGAAACCCACAACTTACATTTTCTAAGTGTGTCTGTAGCCTGCCCACAAGCAACTTAGTTCGTGTTTCTTTTTATTCCTAGGGTGGCACGCTGTGTTTTTCAAAACTTGATTATGCAGTTGCTTGGTTCATCCGTGAATCCATGACAATATACATTTTTTTGTCGGCATTATGGGACCCTACTATAAGCTGGAGAACTGGTCGCTATAGATTGCGCTGTGGAGGTACTGCAGAAGAAATCCTAGATGTATAACCATGGCTTTGTGACTGTACATAGAGGGAAAAAAAAGTATTATAAATTATGTTTGTATAAATGCTTTTAAAGATCTACCTTCAGTAGTTTTTATCACATGTATGTTTTGGTATCTGTCCTTTAATTTATTTTGCATGGCACGTGCATCTGTGAAAAAAAAAAACAAAACACATCTGTAGTCTTGGCCAAATGAAACACTTTATTTTGTGGAAGTAGAGAATCAAGATTGGTTCTAGGAACCCAGGTTTTTTTTTTTATTGTTTATTTTTTTAAACAAATAAATATATATATATATATACATTAATGCTCTGCAGCAAACACTATGACAGTATCCTTCAGTAGAGAAAGTTTCTTATTTGTGGGTACACTCTTTTAGGATATGTACGGGTGGGAGGACTATAGCGGCAGCTTTATTTGAGGTAGAAAAGATAGAAGGTTGTGACCATTCCTGTCTCCAGTGGATGGTGTTATGCATTGAACAGCCCACCATGAGGTACTAACTGAGAAACTTTTTCATGCTTTATGCCTACCTCTTGTAGTTGTTGCAGAACAAATATAAATTGTAATAAGGTAGCTAGGCCTTGCAAAAACAAATGGGAAAACTTTTAAAAAATAATAATAGAGCTGGAATCTAGTATTTATATGACTCTGTGAGAGATATTTTTTTGGTCTCACTGCAATGAACCAAAAGTGGCCGAGTTTGGTTTTTAATTGTAGCCATGTATTGAAGGCATCTTTCTGACCAACTCTTGTTGGTTCTGTCCTGAACCATTGTTAATCACTGTGCTGTAATTAGTGTAGCTCAATCTTTCCTTCCCCGCTCTTTGCCCAGCCCCCACCCCATCTTTCCTTCAGTTTTTTTCAGGGGGGGTATTGGGGATGATTTTGTTTTAGTGTGAGTGGATGTTTTGATAGTTGTAAGGAAAAATGCATTTCAGACACATTTCACATGAGCTATTTTCTTACACAGTATGTCTTATTGTTAATAAGAATGTAATTTCATGATACAGGTATTTAATATCTTTTTTAAGTAAGTAAATATTCTAGCCATCAATAAATAAATTGTAGAGTATTGAGAGGGGACAGGATGAGTTTTTCTCTTCAAACCAATCAGTATCAAACTAAGTCTACTGTGTGTGTTTTTTTTCCCATGGTAGTCTAGTCTTATTTAAATTGGATTTTTGTATTCCAGTTTGTATGACACAATAGACTAGATTGGCAGTAGTTGTAAATGCATGCTGCACCTCACTCCTCTCCCTGTCATGTGGCTAAACTTGCTTGTCAGGTTGTGCTTACCTTGTGGTGAACTGGACTCGTTTTTGTTTTATTTTGTTTAGAACAAAAAAATAAGCAGAAATGTAAGGGACAGTGCAAAAGCCTTTCTTTCTCTGTTTTTTGTTTCTGTTTTCGCCTTTTCTTCAGGATTTGGTGGCGTGTTGTCCATACGAAGTCTAGTGCAGGCCTAACACTGGTGGTGTGGCAGCTTCACTTTCTAAGTCATTTTCCATGTCAGAGCATAATGCGTAGCATATTAGCAATAACTTCCTATGGATAGAAAACACTTTCACTTTACTGAGCCAATTCACTGACTTGTCTAACGACTATGTACATGATTTAAGTTGCAATGTATCTGTAAGTGTGTATCTCTGGGTATACACATTTGAAGTTTTTCTCTGGGCCAAACTGCGCTTTTTTCCTCCCCTTTCCTCTTTTTTGCCTTATGATGAATTTGTTTGAAGGGCATTTTTTTTTTTTTTCATAAACAAAGGCTTGGATGCAAATTCCTTTCTTTATGTGAAATGGGTAGTTTTGTTCCCTGAGGAAAGTTGCACAGTGAAAACCAGTCTGGTTGTGACCCACTATGTCCTTATTCTTTTAAATCAGTCTTACATGAGTTGAATTTTGCTGATCATGTTTGAATTCGTTGTTTTTCTTTTCAATGAAGTTTGGTTGATGCCATCCTTTGCACTGCTGAAGTGAAATTTTGCTTATTACCTAGCTTTTTTGCTGATCTCAGCATGGGCAAAGTAACAACAAAACCAAAATGGCTGGACAGACTTCCTGTGTTTTGTAAATATTGAAAAACAATGACTGTTCTGTATGTGTGTTTTATGTGGTAGTGGATTATTTCCTTAAAGTGAAGCTTCACATAAGCAGACAGAGTGATTCTTTGTTTATCAAGTTTGGAGTGAAGATAAAATGGTAATAAATAATTTAAATGTGGAAGGAAGCATCACAGCAGAACTGTAGGAATCCAAATTTAATAAACTGTCTTTTAAAAAAAAAGTGTCTAGAATATACCATGTTTTATTATTTAAAATCATTGTCCTAAGTTTTTTGTTCAAAAAATAAAAAAATTTGAATACAATCAAACATTAAAAATGTTATTGTTTACTGTCTTTTATTTTATATTTCCATAATGTAACATGTAATGTAACATGTCACCAGTCACATCAGAATTACTGCAAGAGTTCTGACAAGTGGTTGATTTTGAAATCTCCCCTTACCCGTATCACAGGCAATCCTATGACTTGAAGTGGGGCTTTTCTACATTATCAAATGTTAGACTCACCTGTCAGAACATTTTTAAAAATATGGGTGCCTGAGACCTAAACTCTGCTCCTGTGAGAATCACTGGCCCTCAATTGTGGGAAAGACCCAGTGGTCCCTTAGGCCCCTCTCCTCTGGGCTCCTAGCCGGAACTCAGCCTTTGAGACCTTGCCACTCCCACGGCGAGGAAAGGTTTACCCAAGGGAAAACCTGGGACCTTGTTGCCATGTAAGACCTCAGTGGGAAATGGACTGAGCTGTACCCAACCTGCTGGTGAAGGCCCGCTCCTCCTGTGTTGGAGGCACTCCCAGGCCTGTTCACCAGCCCACAAGGATCAAACCGTAGAACAAATCCCCATGGGACAAGCAGTGTGCTATCGACGGAACATTTGTGTTTCACATGCAGAATTCACGTTGAGACCTATCTCCAACGTGAGGGTACTTCAGTGGAGCCTTCAGGAAGGAGGCCATTGGGTCACCCCAGAGAACTCCCTTGCCCTTTCCTCCATGAGAGGAACTAGCAAGAAGGTACCACCTGATTATCAGGATGTGGGCCCTTGCCAGACGTCCAATCTGCCAGTACCGTGACTGGTAGAATAAACCACTCAGTCTGTGGCGTTCTGCTGTAGAAGGCCTAACAGACCAAGAATCTAAAAGGGATCTGGCTGTGGACTTCCAGAGGACTGCTAGCCCCTTGACCCAGCAAACAAGCTGGTTCCTGCTACCCCTAAAATTTAAGAAATCTTCAGCAGAACGCTGAATGAGGCTAGCTAAATGTCAAAGATCCCTCATCCATATTTTAAAGCGAAGAACCCCAGGTGCATATTGAGTTACGATCACAAAAATTAGGTAGCCATGGCTTTTTCTGTGTAGCAGGTCCTGGTGTCTTACATTTCTCTGTGGGATCACACTGAAATTCTGCTTTAACAGGTTTAAAACTTACACCTTAATAGGTTCAGTTTTAATAGGTTTAAAACTTACACCGTAAAAATAAATTTAGTGATTATATTCTAACTCATAAAAATCTTAGAGAACCAGATCCAAACCTGCAGAACAAGAATGTAAATTACTACAAAGTTTAAGGTAAGATGCTTTACATACATCATCGATAAGAGAATTAGCACATACCACAAGACTGAATAAAAGTTTAGGCCTAAAGTTTTGTCAGTTTTGTCTAGTGCTTCATTTTGTTGGAAAGAAAGCAAACATTACAAAATGATGAACTACCCCTGCACATACACATTTAATTGAATAATTTGCTTTAAAAATACTGATGTCTGGAAGCGATTTTAATGTCACTATCAGCTTTTTCTAAAAGCAAATAGCCAAATATGTAGCTCAGTGGCATAAGCGCCTGTCTGGCAAGCACAAGGTCCTGAGTTTGATTCCCGGTACCAAAAAATAAAAACATAGAAATACATGTCCTTGGTTGATCCATAAGCAGCAAGATTCCTAAGAACCGCAATGTGCTAAATGTTCACATAGCCCCTTCCCAGTTTGGAAAACTTGGCAGAGACTTGGGTATCTGCGGGCTGGCTTATGGTTATGCTGTGCAGACTCTTGGTCATCAAGACATCCGGGCTAATAGCATGAACTTGTAATTACTTAAACAATTGAGGGACATCACTGCTCTACAAGAGTGAGTCTGCACCACCACCACCACCACCACCCCTACTGCCTGCGCACTGCCCATTACAGTCACACTGCTTCGGCTTTTAGCTTTTGTCACCAGCCCTGGTATCTGCTATCTTCCCTCATGGTATTAGGCAGAGGAACAGAGGTAAGATGTTGAGAAACCCCTCACCTGTGGTGTAACTGAGGCATGCAAAAGGAGTGGAATTAGAAATGACTTCCCAAGGGAGGGGTCATTTCCACAGAGCTGATGGCTGAAAACAGTTGAGTGTGACAGCCACAGATGCGTGTCAGCCGATGAGGGCTGAGCACAGAATCTCAGAGACCTATTAAGACAGCAGGAGAGAAACAATCCAAAAAGACAGGCTGCCTAGCTTCTCGTTAGAGTGGGCTTGTTGGTAGCTGTGGGCCTTTTGAGCAGCTTCCCCAATCCTTCTGAGCCTGAGTTTATTACCACCTAGAATGGTAGCTATTAAAGCACTTTCTAGGATTATATAGATAATTAAATGGGGTATATAAGGCATGTTGACAGTTCCTTTCTACTTCCAAAGAAGAAGTGGTAAAAGGACTGCTGAGGGGTACTTTGGGAAGAGATATCAAGAAAGAAATGCTCCTGGGGTCACAGACAATGAGATGAAAGAGTGGGTTCTGGAGAAGGCATAATCCCTCTGGCATCACCAATGTGAGTGAATTACAGTAACTTGTGAGTCAGATACTGGCCGGTGAATTATCTGCTTGGAAGTAACAGCTTCTTTATGAATGACTTTTTTCTTACATGATGCGATGACATTTTATCTCCTAAGGAAGTGGTGGGACTTCCAGAGCCAGAAATTGCTTCTGTCCTTCAGGGAATCATGACACCTTTTGTGACAGAGAATCGTTTGAAGAACGGCTGCTCCTGGGAAGCCGCCACAGTATGGTAGGTTTCTTTATCCTGGTCCCCTACAGTAGGGCAGGTAAGATTTTTCTTAGGAGACCAGCATAAGGAAATGAAAGCTAGGTTCACATAAACTGGGAAACTGCACCAGTGGTGCTTCTGCCACCTAAAGTGCCAGTAATACTAAGCTTAAACAAAAAAGAGTTCTGACTTGAAGGAAAGGGAGTTTCTCAAGGGCTCCCCAGCCCTAACTGCAGTGCACATTTTAACTTTGTTCTTACTTGCTCATTTTTTTGTTGCTTGTGTTCTTTCCTGCTTTGTCTCAGACAAAGCTTATCCTTTGGCATGGGCTTTTTTGTTTTTTGTTTTTAAACTTTTATTAGTACATGTTTGCGATGTATTCGTTGTGGGGAGTTGTACAGACACATCCCCTCTCTCTCCTTTGCCCCTCCTTCCACCGCTTGGCCCCCTTTTCGTGGGCATAAGATTTCTCTCCCTGTTTCCTACTACCTTTTAATTTGCCCTTTCATGTTCATATATTTATACTTTGGATTTCTCATATTAAAGAAATAGTACAATATCTAAACTTGTGTCTGATTTATTTCTCTTAATGCTATAGTCTCAATGCATCCATTTTCCTACAAATGACTCCATATGGCAGAGTAGCACTCCATGGTGTGTGAATACCACACGTCCTTTATCCATTCATCTGTTAATGGACATGTAGGACACTTCTAAGATTTAGCTGTTATAAGTTATGCTACTATAAACGTGGAAATGCATGTATCACTGTAATTTGATGCCTTTAACTCTTTTGGGGAGATACCTGGAAGGGTCCAGTGGAATTTCTAGTTTTAGTGTTTTGAGGAATCTGCATACTGATTTCCATAGTGGATGTTCTAGTTCACATTCCTACCAACAATACACCAGGTTTCCTTTTTTTTCCTCTGTTACTGATGTCTTGATGGTGGCCATTCTCTCTGGGGTAAGATGGAATCTTGGTGTTTTTTAATTTGCATTTCTCTACTAGCCATAAGTGAACATTTTTCCATATATTTATTGGCCATTTGTACTTCATGTTCTGAGAAGTGTCCATTCATTCATTTCAGTTGCTCACTTTTTCTTTTTTGGTACCAGGAATTGAACTCAGGACCTTGCGCTTGCCAGGCAGGCACTTGTGCCACTGAGCTATATCCCCGGCCCCTGCTCACTTTTTGATTCAATCTTTTGTTTTGGGGAGTCTAATTTTCTTTAGGTTTCATATGTTCTAGCTATGAGTTCTCTATCAAGGAATATCTGGAAAAAATTTTGTATTCTGTAGGTTGTCTCTTCCCTCTGGTGGTCATTTCCTTTACTGTGCACAAGCTTTTCAATTTGACATAATCTCATTTGTTGATTCTTGGTGTTATTTCTTGTGCAGTTGGGATTCTGTTCAGAGTCTTTGCCTATACCTTTGTCTTCAAGAGTTCTACCTGTTTTAGAGTGGAAACACAATCCGCAGAATGGAAAAAATTGTACTAGCTGTTCCTTAGACAAAGGATTGACATCAAGAATATATAATGAACTAAAAAAAAAATCAGACCCCACAAAATTAAAGACCCAATCCAAAAAATGGGCATCTGAATAAAAAGACACATCTCACATGAAGAAATACAAACAGCAAATAAAGATATAAAAAAAAGCCAGGGCTGTAGCTCAGCAGTACAAGCACCTGACTGGCAAGTGCAAGGGCCTGAGTTCAATTCCTGGTACCAAAAAGAAAAAATAAATAAAGACATAAAAAACGTTCAACATCACTGGTCATTGTAGAAACACAAATTAAAACAATACTAAGACTCCATGTTACTCCAGATAGAATGGCTATCATGTAGAAATCAACCAAGAACAAATGCTGCCAAGGCTCTGGGGAAAAAAGAACCCTTTCCACTGTTGGTGGGAGTGTAAATTGGTACAACCAATATAGAAATCAGCACAGAGATTCCTCAAAAAACTAAGAGGTTCCATTTGACCCAGCTATTCCCCTTCTAGGTATCTTCACAAAAGAGTAAAAAGCATGATACAGCAGTGATATGTGCACAGTCATGTTTATAGAAGCATGATTTGTAATAGCTAAATCTTGAAAATGGCCCAGATGTCCATCAGCAGATGAATTGATAAAATGTGGTTTTACATATATTGGAGTACTACTCTGCCATAAAGAAGGTAAGTGAGACATCATTAGGTAAATG